GCAGATCTTGGGTTCCATCTGGTATTTCTCTTTAAACAGAACAATTTTTTTTTGGCTTTTGTATTTAACAAAAAATTTTTAATTTTAACTTCTCAATATACATTGTAGTTGATTTTTATCTCCCTTTACCTATTCCTCTTTCCTCCCTTCCTCTCTCCCCTCCCCCGCTACATCATATCTGTTCACTTGCCTTAACAAGTTCAAAGATTATTATGATTGTTGTGTCCTCTTTGCCCTCCCACCCTTTATTTGTTTGTATATTTATTTATTTTTAGCTCCCACAAATAAGTGAGAACATGTGGCACTTCTCTTTCGTGCCCTGTAAGTCTGTCAGAGACAAATTCTCTCTACTATCTTCTGTTTAAAAATGCCTTTATTTCACCTTCATTTCTGATTACTAATTTCATTGGATATAGGATTTTATGTTGACAGTTTTTTCTTTCAGCACTTTAAAGATACCATTCAAGTGCATTATGCCTTCTACTGTTCCTAGTGAGTAGTCAGCTGTCATTTGTATAGTTGTTCCTCAGTATGTAATGGGCTGTTTTCATGCCTGCTTTTAAGATATGCTGTTTAGTGTAGGTTTCTAGTACTTTGACTATAATATACCTGGGTCTGATTTTCTTTGTATGTATCCTGCTTGTGTTTGCTGAGCTTCATAGATTTGTGGGTTGATACCTGTCATCAATTTTGGAAAGTTCTTTGTCATTATCTCTTCAAAGTTTTCCCCTCTTTGTTAGACTGTCTGATATTGTTCCATAGATCTTGGATGCTCTGGCCTATTTTTTCCTCTCTATCTTTTCCCCCCCCCTAGTTTTAAATTTCAGTTTGGAAATTTTCTTTGATATATGTTCAAGTTCATTGATTCTTTCCTCTAGTAATTCCAGTGTGCTATTAATTCTTTCAAATAAAATTTTTACTTCTGATAGTTTTTTATTTCTAGCAATTCCATGTGATTCATTTTTTTTTTTTTTTTGGTAGTTCCTATATCTCTGATGAAGTTTTCCAATCTCTTTATCCATTTACCTATGGATCCTTTAGCATTTTTATCATTATCATCATGATTTTATCATAACTATTTTAAAGTCTTGTCTGATATATCCAACATCTAAGCCTTCTCTTAATTTACTTCTATTGACTGCTTTCTGTCTTGACAAGTTATGTTTTCTTCCTTCTTCACATGTCTTTTATTTTTAATTATAAAGTAAACATTTTAGGGCCGGCCCAGTGGTGCACTGCTATAGTGCGCCGCTTGGGAAGTGTGGTGGCGCTC